GCCGGAGTACTTCAAATCTGACTGACACTCGATGCCAAAACTCAACCTCGTTCCCTGGATAAGTCCACCACTTTATTTTACGCTAATTAAAAACTGCACGCTATTGTGCATTTTCTCGCACAGGAAAAACCAAACAGAATTTCTGATTCTGGCCCTTAATGGTCATAATAATAACTAGGACTTTGTCTCTGACGAAGGAACGGCAATAAGCACAATATTAACCTACGAGCAGGTTGTTGTTTAGTCTCGTCATGCAATGTTGGAGAGAGAGAGCGTTGCGTGACAAGTTCAAATTAGGGCTGTGGAGGGAACTGCAGGAAGCGTTGTACCAATGCAGTTTATTTTTGCCAACAATTTATTCAGACACCAGCATCAGTTATGTAGTGTCCCATTTCAACTTACGTATCAAAAAAAATAACTTCTGCATGCGTAGCATGCCTATGTTTTAACTACGTGATCTCGTGGTTTGAAATAAGCAAAGAACAGATCAAAATTGCGGATGCTTTAGCATGCACTTATTTCGGGCTATATATCATCTGTCTGATGAAATCCATATCTTTGGAACTGACCTCTTATTTAGTTAACAATTATTCGCCTTAGGCTCAGTGAATATCGTTGAGTAATCCCCGAGACGAAGTCGAGGGGTTATTCAATAATGATACTTTCGAATTCGTTTTGAATTAGTACTGTTGTTGAAACCATACTGTAACTATCGTTTTTGATTACCCGTGTCAGGATAAGCCGTCAGTCTCCACAAAAACTTAACAAGTTTATTTAATTCAGTCAGCAAAAACTGCATGTCTTTCTGTCGAAAAGTGTTACACTACATGACTTAGTAACATCTTGAGAGCTGAGTTTTCTTCTATAGCGTTTATCACTTCCTCTGCAACATTTTGTCAAAACGCGAAGTAGCCATTTTGAAATCAAGTGTCCCTAATCTTCTCGTGCATCTTCGTGAGGTGTTAATAGCGTGATATGACACAATTCTCGACCAATCAGAGCGCGCGCATCTCCTTCATCATCTGAGCAATTAAGCTAATTTAGTTTATCTCTGTCATTTGTAAGAGGTAGTGTTTGATTAAAATATACTTGTATCCAAAGGCCTCTATGAGAATCAGTTAAACAAAAAATGAATACTACCTACTTTCAACGTTTTTCATTAAATTTGAAGAAGAGATGAATATTTAAAATAATAACTTGCATTTTGGTCCTCAGTACCTTTAAAATAAACCATCTAACTTCCGCACCCTACCTCTAATAAGCCCCCAGTGTGAACGCCTTAGAATTCAAAATGTTCTTGATCGGGGCACCTGGTTCATACTCTGTTCGGTCCGGTCTCAAAGCGTGATCCATTATGTGAGGGTAGTAATGCAGAGAAATGATTTCGGTGAAATCTTGTAAATCATAAAGCAAACAACTTCCGGGTTCCGTTAAAGTCCTCTCAATTGGTGGAAAACTTCCCTAACAGGATAACCCTGACCAAAGACACCAGCTTAGCGTGCGAACTGAGCTTCTTACAGAGGCCAACGCTAACCAAAAGGGCAAGAAGGCATTTATGTACTTCTTTTCTTCACCAGCTTTAGTGTGGCAGAGGATTCTAGATACACTTTAGGTTGGCTTGCTTGCCCTGACTTGGTCAATCAAACCACACGACACACTGTGCTGCACAGGCATGAAAGGTTTTTGACGATCCACGTGGTCCAGAGTTTCAAAAGATAAAAAAGAAATGGTACATCGAATGAATAAATAAACAATAAAATAAAACCAAAAAACAACTAGTCAACAAAGGTAAAATGAAACGACTACGAAGATTTGAGTTTCTATCGGAATTTGTCTTTGAAATAACGATTGATTCGACCTCAATTTTTGAGGACTTGCGATTATTGAGATATTCGCTTCATCTTTGAGAAACATTGAAAAGACCAGCATTGAATGCAATAAATGAATCTTCGTTTGTCGCTACCTTCTCTTTGTACATGTCATATTTACTAATTGCGTGATTAGTCACGCTGTGACCATCAGACATGCTTAAACAATGGTCGTCAGTGGGAGGATGCGTGACAGTGCACTATAGTGATCATTACACTCTTAGTGAGTAATGTACTGTGATAAATGAAGCCCAGTTTTCAAAGCTCTTAACCTTAAATTGCCGAAATTTTGATCACAGGCGTTCAACTTATCGGTGAGCAACATGAGTGCATCACTAGATATTGACGAGATCGACGACATCGTCGACATGATTCAGATAATAATGTCGCTCAATATTTCGTGCAAAGGGCTGACAACGTTGGACGAAGTGAAACAAAAATGCAAAGAGAGACTTCAGTTGTTAGAGAAAAATTCAAGTTGGACAGCAAAGGAGGTGAGAATTCTGAAATTCCTCTTTGAAATATGCCAGCTACCAGCAAATTCAATTTAAAAAGGACATTTTCAGTACAATGGCGGATTGGAAAGTAACTTGACGCTACCTTTAATAAATGGTAGATGCAGATCGTATCGTAAAATTTAGTCACGAAATGCTTAACAGCCCTCTCGACGCTAATTTAGCCATCGTTAAGACTTATGTCATGTGAATCTATTCAGTAATGGCAATCTCAGAAATGAGTAGCACTAAAAGAAATTTGTCTGCCGTAGACAGACATCGTTGCATTCAACCGCCAAATGTTTCTTTAAGTTCAATCTTGATAATACGTAGAGCTAACTACAACGCCGCTAATTAATTATTGATACTTTCATCAACGATTCTTAAAACTGAAAGTCAAAAAATGACTTAATATAAGAAACTGCAAAGTTTTACTTTCACAGTGAGAGGTAAACATCACTGAGTTGATCAACGAAGCAATTTGGCAAGTTTGGTTGGGCAACGGTCGAGCCTCGAACGTTCGAGTAGAGCTTAACGGCTTTTAGCTAGGATACCGAGGATCAATGAATTTTCGTTAAATTAGCTTCGGTTCTGTCTATCTTATGCCAATTCTGTGCTCTGTGGATAAAGTTGGAATCATTTTAACCATTTCGGAAAACATTGGCGAGTGTATCAGGTTTACATTTTTACATTTTCTAACAAAAGCTTCCATAATTTCTGTAAATATATGACCCCAGGTCTAAAAGGAAGCCTTAAAATCCTTCTTGAAATAGGCTTCTGCTAGTCATCGTGGTAAGTAACATTTTCAAAAGAGAAATTCTATCGTTTTTCTAACGATTTGGTCACTTTGGATGTGTATCGCGAGGTTTCGATTGCAGACTGCCAGCCTTCTTCAGGCGATGAGGTCGATTGGGCATGGGTCATCTTTATGCTGTAGTGCTCAGCTTTGATTGGGTGAAACTCCAAATTCGGATCCGGTGCCCTCTGTGACCTGTTGTCGCACATCTCTCACGGTACACAGGCTTCTGGAATTTCAAAGCAATGTCCCTGTTAATGTTGTGAGGGTGAAGTCTAATGTGAATTGCCTCTTTTACCCTGCGTGTGTAGAAATGACGGTCACGATCATTAACCTTTACTTCGTTCCAGAGCGGGCAGTGTCTGGTGTAGTGGAAATACTCTGAAACGGCACAGTTCTGCGTCTTGGCGAGTTGGATATCCCTGTCGTATTCCTTGATTCTGTCTTGCATAGGTCTGCCAGTTTCGCTGATGAAGACCTTTCAGCATTCAATTGGAATATTGTACACCGCGTCATCCCATATAGCCGGATCGACAGCATCCTTCGGGTCTACTAGGGGTGATCGTGGTGTAGTCTCTGACTTAAAAACGGTGCATAGACCTTGTTGTTGTGGACAGCGGCGAAGTTGTTCTGAGAGGCCTTTGACACAAGGCAGGACTGAGGTGGATCTGAACTCGGGGGGGTTCAGTGCTGGCGGTTGGTGTCTTGGTTTTTTGTTACCCTCTGCACGAAAGAAGGTTAACCATTAGAAATAAGAACAGATAACAAATGTTTTTCTCATCGGAGATAACTGATCAGCATTAGGGCTTTGTTACGAAACGTTTAGTACACTCGTAAAGGCGCTAGACAATGCGATGCTTTACTGCTTGCGGATGGTAGGAGTGGTAGTGGAATCTTTATTTAAACTCGGTAAAAATGTTCAGTAAAAACAATAGCTATCTATATAAAATATTAAATTGTATAAACTATTAATATACTGTTTAACAAGATTGCAGAGTAAGAATCCAATGGCTCAAATACACAATTAATTCGCTATTTAAATTCAGCTATTGATCTGAGTCTCTGACATTCTATGGTAACGAGTTCCAGAAAAAGGCACCGCTGTAACTAAAACTACGCTTTAAGTAATAGCGCTTTATACTAATGACGTCATGAAATCTTAGACCCCCGCGTGACTCAGACAAACAAACTCCACTTCTTAGTGAGCTACAAGGGAAATGGGGAGTAGGTCGCTTCATTCCCTTACAGTTCTGACCGAAGAGGACGGCGTTCCTGGCTCCAAATTTGAAAGAGAACTGGAAGAATACCCTGTAGACTAGCTAAAACGTGGTTAAAATGTAGGGGCTTAAAATTCAGCGGTAAACGAGAAGATCTTGTACAGCGAGTGAGAGACTGTGTGAGATGCGGGAATTATCACACCCTTGATCCGGCAATCGATCATGGAAAATGGTTTGCTGCCAAAGTTCTACGAGAAAATTCTGATGTAAAGACAAATTCTGGATCGATATCCATTCCGTGTATTCCGTCGACTGGCTGGCGTGTTTTTCCGTCTCAAAACATTCCTTCGCTCTTCAACTATGGGCACGTGCATTACTACGCGCTAGAATCAATCCAAAATGTTTCCGATCATCCTGAAGACATCGAAGATGGGCTGGGGCACATGACGGATAAACCTTTGAAAAATGGAAGAAAGTACGTGGATTCAGGCTTTGTTCACGATATGATGGACACGGTAAACGGCGATCATTATTTAGTGAGGGCTCACGTTTGGCCGTCGATGAGAGCAGAGTTGCCGCACAATGTTGTTGTTGTTTTGTCTGTGAACAGTGGTGCCGTTCTTCATGCCTCTTGTGATCCTTGCAGGGCTTCGTCTTTAGGTCGTTGTAGTCATGTTGTAGCCGTTTTATTTTGTATCCTTGACCATGTTCAGAAACATGGGACAATGTTGAAAACACCTTGCACAAGCCAAGAATGTTCTTGGAATAAAGGAAAGAAGAGAAACAAAAATCCCAGAAGAGTAAGCGATGCGACATATCCAAGCAAGAGGTCCAAGCAAACTTTGTCCGTCATTGAGTTTGATCCGAGGCCTGCCAGATATAGGGAGGTAAACGAGCAGCATAT